TCCTAAATCACCAAGAATCATTGATTCTGGAAGGAAAACACATTCTGACTGCCAGAAAAGCATTCATGCAGGGTGCAGAATGAGCGACGCACATCACAAACTATTTCAGAGCAGCACCACTCGAAGCTGCAGGCTGCCCACATGAAACAGGAAAATGAGATGGAGTCGTGCTGCAGCGCTGCTTTAAAGGTGTCACCACAAATCGCAGGTCATGAGTGAGCATTCCTCCTTCACTGTGGGCATGGAGTGGGAAGTGAGCACTTCTTAGCTGACGGAGGTGGTTGGTTGGTTGGAAAATATCACATTTGCAGTTGAAGAATCCAAAACAAATTTAATTTGTAGTGTTCTAAATTCTTTTTTCCTCTCAGTAATCACGGGTGGTCAGTCGGGTGAAGAAGGGGTTCTGGAAGTGAACACACCTTGGAGAGAAGGTGTTCGGGCAGCGGCTTCCGGGTGACCCAAGGGTCCATGGAGTAAAGGTTGGGGTCCCGATCCGACAGCTCGATGCGTCGTGGCGTCAGCAGCTTCCGGCGGGTGAATTCCAGCTCGTCGTCGTGGACGTTGCTAACGTCAGTCACGTCGTAGCCAATCAGGTAGTTGAGGTAACGCTGGTACTGCTGAGACTCGTCTGTGGGCTGCGGCCGCGGCACCAGCTGGATTCGACCCACGTCTTTCTTTAGAGCTATTGAAATGAAAAAAAAAAAAAAACAAGACACCTGAAGTTCCTACCAGCACAGTTTAGTTGTCATACAGTAGGATTCTGTGGAGTAGTTCAAAGAAGCTACATATGCTAAGCTAAAGCCAACAATGTCCTAAACAAATCACAACTGGTATTAAAACTCTTAGAAAATCCTTTTTTTTTTTTCTTTACCCTTTACAAGAATGTTCACAGTCAAAGATGGCCTCTACTGGACTTCGTGGTGTTAAATAGACAGTTACTCATGTTTGGATGTTTGTAGAGAGAAACTAGAGTCCTTCAAGTTTTACAAGGTATAAAGCATAGCGCATACGAAATAATGCAACTTTTTCCTTAAGTTTTACTTACGCACAATTTTTACGGAGTTGTACCATTATATCTACAAGCCATGTTAAAAATGAAAGCAGGAGAAAATGAAGAGAGAGCCCTTGTGCTAACTGGGTTGACTGAAGATATATGGCAGAATGTAGCTCTTCTTTTGTTCCTATTCTGTGGAACCACATGCAGTTATGCATTAGAAGATCTCCTTTATTGTGCAATGACAGGGAAAAAATGTGTTTATAACACGGTTTTATTAACACACCTTGAGACTTTTGCTCTTAATTCTATTAGTGTTTTATTGTTCCTATTATTTTGTTTTTGTCCTTTCCATATTTTGAATGTTTATTGTTTTTGTCTGTACAGCAATTTATTGCAGCTATTGTTGTTTTAAAGAACTTTATAAGTAAAGTAGTAAACAGCAGTTAGTTTCTTTTCACCATGAGAACATTTCCATTGTTCTCCAACATGGATGCTGTCTACTGCAGGTGGGATACTGCACTCCATACAGTCAGAATACGTGTTTAGAACAAATCTCAGTCATGATAGAAATAGTTTCTGGCTCCAAGAGGCAACCAGTACCTCTCCAGTAGCGAATACAGTCCAGTGTTTGGAAGACCTGGTGCTTGTCGTAGATCTCGCACACAGTGCCTTTCTTCTGATAGAGGAGGATGCAGTGATCAGGACAGAAGCGCTGGTAGAAGTCGGGACAGAGGTTTAAAGACACCGCCTTCATCCAAACTTGGGCTTTCACCTGGAAAAACGACAAAACGGGCAAAACATGTTTCATTCGTTCGCTGGAGTTAAAGTGAAAAAAAAAAGAAAAGAAAAAGAAATCCCTGAGCATCCCCAACCTGTTCCACAGTCCAGTTCCCGGCCACCTCTAGCAGCAGAGAGTCGGGGCTGCTCCCACCCCGCGCCACTGTGGGCAGCACAAACTCAACGCTGATCTGATCCATGGAGGTGGAGGAGGCAGAGGTGATGGCTTTCTTCCTCCTCCTCCTGCGGCTCTCTTCCCGTGCCACTTCGCGCTCTTCGTCGCTCACCTGGATCTGCTGTCTGTCCATTGCCTAGCTTGGACACAACGCACGCAGTTAATCATTACCTGTAATCATGCAAACACCTTGTTGCCACGGGACGCAAAGATCTGATCTGTCTGTAGCCAAAATCTGGACTCGAGTGGCAGATCGACTGGAGTGAGCAACGATGAACACTCAAATTATTATTCAGGCACGATGGCAGAAATTGTCGGACCAAAGCTTCGGTTTTGTGGTTAAATTTAGCATTTGCTGCAGGCGTGTTCTGCGCGATCCCACATGAGTGTCTCCGTCAGCTGGAACCTTACAAACAACTCTCACACACATTAAATGTGTGTTTTTGTATCAAAAAGGCAGCGAGTCAACCCAGAGTCATAACATTTCCACCACCATGCTTCCACTAATGTTGTGAGTTAAACAAGATTGTGGTTAACGTGGCCAGAGGATTCTACAGTGCCTTCAAACTGCTCGAAATACGGCTTTCTAACCTGGCCAAGGTTTAAAGAGCAGAGGCAAAAGCAAGTAAGGAGGATTAGCAGAACTTATGGACAACTAATGATGTCATCCAGAATATAATAATGTGGAATGTGGTCTCTGCTGCCTGGATATTGAGCTGTTTTATCATGACAGTCATGAAACTGTCGTATAGTAACATTTTTCAGTCAGAAGCCTCTTTAGATGTGTTGCAAGACTGACTGCTACCAGAGATCAGGACTTTTAGGGACATGTGCAACAACAACAAAAAAAAAAAAGAATGTTTGTGCTACACCATTCAGTCCCATCTAGGCTGAAACAAAGATGAAGTTCTCACTAAGATCGACTCTTAGTTTCTATTAAAATGTCTTGTGGATTACGTGGATTTATTTTTGTCTTGAACCTATTAATGGGAATAATTGTGATAATAAATGAAGGAGTGATGAATGCATGCATTTTAAGACTGTTTTTAAAAAGACATTTAGATAATGTAGAAAAAGGAATTATTTCAGGAAGTTTTCACAGGCACTTGATCTGAAACTTTAATGTATTTTTATAGTTTTGAGAGTATGATCATTCAATAAGCCAAAAATATAATGTCTATGTTATCTGGTAATATGCAAATATGGTGAAAGCTTAGTGAGTTTTCATGTTTTTACTCCATTAAAAAAATGGGTTACTATAAACAACTCTTCGGTTTGTATTGGAGGGAATTTAAACAAACCGTAACTTCAGCATTATGTTTAGTCCATAATGACTTTATTTTGATAGAAATTATCAATTCGGGTAGTGGAGCCCTGAAGGACTCATTCCAAAACTGTTCACCCTACACTAAATGCGAAGAAGTTTTTGGAGTTTCCCTTCTGTTTCTTTCTGCATCAGCAGAGGAAGCTTTGAAAAGCAGGAAGCAAAAGTCAAACAGCATGGATGGACTAGAATAGCTCTCTGTCAGCTGTTTTGGGTCCGACGCACTTTTAAGTGTAGACTAGAGGACTACAGCAGCTAAGAGTAACAGCGCAGAGAGGTAAAAACAAGAGATAAAACAAACGGGGGAAAAAACGCAGCCACCATAGGAGTGAGTTACAGCAGCAGGTTGTGGTGTAACGGTACAGCAGGAAGCAGAGAGGCGTGTGTGGCTACACACACACACACACACACACACACACACACACATAAAGCTTTTAATAAGGACTCACCAAGGAACGCAGAAGGCAACCAACCCCGGAGCTGTCGACGAAGAATTCGGCATTTATGCTAAATAACGAGACCCGGAAACATTAAATAAAATGAGGGTTTTCTGGAGTTTGTGCTCAGGAACTGCTGGGAGGAAATGCTGCGCCTCCACAAGTCTACCAGAACTTGTCAAACTCGCCGGCAAAGTTTTCTCTAAACTGAACAGCAACCCGCAACTTCCGCTTTGTCTTCAAACTAAAACACGGCTGTACAGGAAGTGAATCACACTGCGCGTGCATGTTTGAAGAAGCTGCTATTCTTCAAGTAATTAAACTAACTACATAAATAAAAATATTGAATACTAACAGTAAATATAGTTTATCACTTTAAAACAATGCACCTTTCTAAACAATAACAATACTAATAATACGACTAATAATACTAGTACTACTACTACTACTACTACTACTACTAATAATAATAATAATAATAATAATAATAATAATAATAATAATAATAATACATTTTCTAAATATTAATTAAGTATAAACCTGGCATTATCTTGTCTTGTACTGTTTGATAACGTTGGTGCTGCTGGGTACTTTAAATGTGAGTTTACTTCTCTCTTGTGGCTGCATAAAGTATTGCTGAAACAATTTTGAGAACTCAAACCGGAAAAGAAGCGAATAAGCGATTTCCATCTGAAGCTTTTTTCTCTCCGTCTCACAACATAATGTAGTCTATTTGTATAAATTAAATATATTTATATTTTTTTATTTTTGTTTTTAGATTGATGTTTATTTTCGGCATATCACTGACAAGTTTGGGAATAAATAAACTGAATGATGTAAATGTTGCACACTGCCACTGAATAGTACCAAACTACGACCAGTAGAGTGCAGTAAAAACTCACTTCCCTCCAGGACAATACTAAACTGTAATCTTAACACGAACAGTGGAGTTTTTGTGGCCTGGTCTTTACGGCAAAGTATTATTTGACGTGTAAAGCCAATGGGTACACCGAAAATGACCAAATAAAATATATAAAAGAGCGAAGTGTTTAGTATTTCTTACTTTAACCATCTTTTATCAAAACCAACCCAACCCATATGTTTTAGAGAGCGCAAGCTCACACTTGGCTGGCCAATGAGAAACGCCAACACCAAAGATTGACACCATGTCTGACCAATAGGGTAACTAGAACATTATGTTTACAACAACCCCCCTTTTCCCTACAAGGCGACTGTTTTGGTGAGTTGAGAAAAGTTCATTGAAGTCTTTGACGGCTTTTAAATCGCTGAATTTGAGAAGACGTTACAGAGTTGAGCATATATATATCTAAACTCAGAACAGGAGTAAAAATACGAAGCTGTCAGCGCTCGTTTTTTGCTGTAAATGCAGTTTCGCAGCTCGCTCCCGTAAAGCTTTCATTGTTGACGTTGTTTTGTTGTACTGCGTTTTACGCAATAGGACGTCTGAGCCATTTAACTCGACCTAGTCATTGTTTCACCTTCCGAAAATTACTCTCGACCTGAGTTAGTCTGCCTCAGTTCCGAATGTATCGCCTTTGTTCTTGTTCTTTTTTATCGACGTGACAGTGTTTCACTGTACTTTCCTTTGAAGTTGTACAAAACGTAAAGACTTCGACATTTGTGGCGTTTTTTTTTTTTTGACAACGGGCAGTATTCCGCCATTCTGCTCGCCAAAATACCTTTATCCGAATTTATTACATTGGTTTCCACTTGTAATTTAAAGTGTATATTCTCCGTCCTTCTCTGTACTGAATGAATGGACTTTAAATGCGCATGCGTGCTGGACCTGGACGTTTATAAACAAGGCATCGTCACAGGACAATAGTGATGTAATAGGTAAAAGTGAAACAAGTTCGATTTTGTTCTGAAAGTGAACAATCGGTCCACAATGAAGTGATTTATATTATTGTAAATATATATCGATGTGGCTCTTATGTCACTTAAACCATAAATAAACACTAAGACTGATGCCAGTATATTTTATGTGGTTGAATCCATTATAAACCTGTTATAAACTCTGTGTTTCAGTTACATCATGGTTTGGGAGGTGAAAAATCCACCTCTTCCATCAAGCGACTCCCATGATTGCAACATGCAACAGGCTGACCATCAGACTCAATACACAGGTAGCTAACCAATTAGTAGCTTATTGCATTTTGAGTCAATGTCAAAAACACAGTATTTATTCTTCCAAAAAATTTACTTTATTTCAAACAATTAACATTTAAAAAAAAGATTTTGAACACAACACAAAAAGTAATAGCAGATTATATTAAACAAAAAATAATTTAATGTCAAAAAAATATTTCTGCATGTCAGTCAAACTTTATTTGATGAAGCTGGGTAAATGACATAACTGGACAAATTGAAAAGGAAAATTGGGGGAATATTTGTCAAATTTAGAGGCGATATGAATAAAAATTCTGGAACTAGAATGAAGAAAATCTAGATGAACACTATAAATTAAAGAAATGAAGAATAAACAAAGTCATTGAGGTTTTTTTATGATGACATCTAAAGTAAAAGGTGAATTAGATACAATTACTAGATTTCAATGAAAACCCAGGTTGAAAGTATCCGTTTTTAATCTGCTTTTAAAAACATCAATGCTGAAGACCCGAGGCTTCCAGGCAGCCTCGGGTCTTCAGTGAGTAATAAATGAATGACACCTCACAGTAAAGTTTAGCTTCAACTTTAGGTACCAACAAGACACCTTTCCCAGAAGACTTTAGAAATCTGGAAGGAAACCAGTGAAAAAGACTCATTAATACTCAGTTCCATGAGCTGCTCTAATCCTCAGCTTTCTTTTCACTGTTTCCTTCAGGAAGAATGAGCGCTGACGGGGACCAGGCTCTTGATCCGCTACGCTGTGACGAACACTTCCTCTCCTCCCCCGGCATCCCCACCAGCGACAGCTTCATGGAATATGGTAGCTAACATATAAGCAGCAACCATAGCTGCTTCTTTTTTGTTGTTATTGTTTTTTTGGGGGTTTTTTTTTTGACTAATTCAAATGTGTGGCTTGCTCACCCAGACGACCTGCCAGACCTCCAGGAGGTTCGGGAGGAACTAACGGCGGCGCCCGTTTACCAGGTGGAGGTTGGTGTGTCGCACCAGGAGTGGCCTCAGCCTCCAGAGACGCTCTGGCTCACACAGCTGGCTCACATCGCCACGGGGCCCCAGAGCCCGCTTCTACAGGACCTGCCTCACAGCAGGTGGGCGCTCAGCTCCACACCGGAAATAGGAACTTATTCTACGAGTAGCAACACACCTGAACCACAACAGGAGCACTAATAAACTAATAACTAATTCTTCAGGCAGTAAACCACTATCACCAAGCCTTTCATGCCAAATGGTGGGACTTTTCCAATCTGATAAGTTATCCACACTTAATTGTCACTTTCTGAGTGTCAAAATGTTTTATGATCTGCAGCTGAACAGTGAGCAGCTATTTATACACGCCATAATGAATAGAGTATTTTTTGGCACTCTTTATGAGGAACACAAGCTGGTATGGTGTTCCGGCAAAAGCAGAGTCTTTGCAGGTTTCACCAACAAACTGACCTTCTGATTTTTGTTATTCTATTGTAAAATGTTTTTTGTTTTTGTTTTTTTTAAATCAGTCCACTTCAAGTAGATGAAACAGTTGGAAACATCCTCTAATGTATGGTGGCACTTTAGATTTAGTAGATTCTTTGGAGAACATCTTTTAAAACATGATAACTACATCATGTGAATCAGAGCGCCGTTGTTCTTAGACTGTGTGGTTGGACATTTTTAGCTCCTCTGCAGTCTGCATCCCCAGCACCAGCAGTGATCTACACACCTACGCCCGTCCTCCACCTACTCTCCCGATCAGCTCGTCGCCCTCTAGAGTTCACAGCAGGGAGCGACATCGCAGCAGGGTAAAGCCAGGCTTTACTTATGTTTTGTAATAGAAATCCTTATTCTTTGTTGTGATTGGTGCTAATTGTGCCTGATGGCTGTTTTGTATTTGCAGACGAGCAGTGAGTGTGGCTCTGCCGTATCAACCAGGTCCTCCCTGTCTGATGATGAGGACATGGGCTGGAGTTTCTCCTGTCCACCCACAGTCTGGCATTGCTTTCTAAAAGGTAGATCTCTGAACAGAACAATCTTGGAGGAAAGGGTGTGATCTTCAAAAAGGATTTAAAGTTTAACCCAAGGAAGTTGGGACTGAAAATGTCTGGAGTTAGGAAAAAGTAATTAGGTATTCTACATTCGATTTCCCCTTTTCCTTCCTGTGATTGTGTCAATGACTGTGATGTTCCTGTATGTGCACAAAGTGAGCACACAAACAAACTTGCATTTCCCTGAACTAAAGTGATACAGACTGAACGTTTTTGCTCCTCCAATCAGGAACTCGCCTGCGTTTTCACAGCGGCTCATGTGTGGACTGGCAGGATGTTGAGGACATGGGGTCTGGTGAAGAAGACCGTGCCGATGAAGAGCGCTCAAGATTCCTGAAGGTACAACAGCTGTCATAGGCACCTCTCTGAATTATTATTAACTCCATTATCTGTAGGTTTTTCTGCCAGTACATCAAATTAGATGCAGAGAGAGAAGAGGTATGGAATACCATGTCATAGTCCAGCATATTCAGGATGGAATCTCCACTCCTTTTTGGATTCTCACAAACAGGGTTAAACCCAAATGCCTGACATTGTGTCATACTACAAACATCGGTACAAGCACTTCTATGTTTAGTTCTTGTATCAGTGTTTTTCAGTCCCCCAATCAATAGACTATGTGTGATGGCAGTAGCTCCACCCTAGCTGTACCGTACCATTCTACTATGGACTTACAACTGAAGTGGGCCCAGGAATGGTGTGATATGGTTTGGTTGTATGAGCCACTTTTACAATGCAAACAAATTAGCTTACCAAACCGTACTGACCCATACCGTACCGCTCAGTAGAAACGAGGCACAAAATGCATGGAACATCTTGTCTTGTACAGAGTTATGGCTCTGAGGGCCTGCAGCTGGTTGAGCACGAAGAAACTGTGTCCTGTGGTCAGGCCGTCTTGCAGCTAATCTTTGACCCCGGCGTATTCGGACATACGCCAATCACGGCCCGGTGCCAACTGGATCACCCTTTCTACGTCAAAAACAAAGGTACCAGCGCGGGTGACGAGCAGTACCAGTAGTGTCTACCAAAGACATAATTATTCAAGCTCTTTCCCTTCTCTCAGGATGGTCCTCGTTTTACCCAAGCTTGACTGTGGTGCATTATGGGATACCGTGCTATGAAATGGAAGTGGGCGATATGTGCCTGCCTCCTGGACACCGGGATGCTAAGCATACGGATGACTCCCTCGTGTTTGACACATTTAGAAGGTAAAGCAGACTTTCATATTTTGGCATTTTGCAGTCTACTTTTGGGGTGAACTTCTTCTGTGAGTTTAAAGGGGCTTTGGCAAGAGCAGTAAAACAACATTCTGCTACTTAGCATTAGCATTGACTGGCCAATTAGAGAGCTTCTCCTTCCTCTTCTTCTGAAAGTGTGCTTCTTTTGCAGTTATGACTTCACTCCTCTGGACTCCTCCGCTGTTTACCTGCTGAGCAGCATGGCCAGACGCCGACATGCCTCACAGTCCAGTGGGGGCGCCGTTTCTCCCGACAGAGACACAATGCGAGGTCTTGTAATTCTTAATGTTTTAAGATTAGGCCCAACTTTTAACTCAGACATGCTGACATAATGATTTCTTTCACACAATGAAATGAGAAACTGTTTATTGTCCGACACACTTCAGACAGCCACAGTCCCAGCCATTCCCTCTCCAAACATCCAAAGCCAGCTAATGCTAAAGCGCAAGCTAGCGGCAGTGCCACGCCCAACAAGTGCAAGCGGCCAATGAATGCCTTCATGCTGTTCGCCAAGAAGTTCAGAGTGGAGTACACGCAGATGTATCCCGGCAAGGATAACAGGTAGGCGGAGTCACATGACTTTATTTTAACATGGAGGTTCACAAAAATTCTTATGCCTGCAGACTTCACCCTCAGCTCGGTATTTTCTGGGTTTCATTGCATTTTATTGAGGGGTAACAGACTAAAAGGGCGAGGGGCAATTGCGAGGTCTGTCACTACACTTTTCAGATTTTTATTTGGAAAAACAAAATAAAATAAATTCCCTTCTACGCTCTACTCTGTGCTGGTCCTGATGAAACACATTCAAGTTTGTGGCAGCAACATGTGAAAGCTACAAGTTAGAGATGCTTTGAATAGGCCCCGCATGTGGTCATGCGTGTGCGTCTGTGCCGCAGAGCGATCAGCGTCCTCCTGGGCGAGCAGTGGAAGAAAATGCGAAGCGAGGAACGCCGCATGTTCACCCAGCAGGCCAAGGCGCTCGCCGACGAGCAGAAGAGGCTCAACCCCGATTGCTGGAAGCGCAAAAGAACCAACTCTGTAAGGCCACTCCCATACTCACAGCGCCACCTGATGCTTGGCTGACCTACGTCTGATTCACCTCTTGTGTTCTTTTTTCCAACCCCCCCTCCCAACAGAGCTGCCAAGGAAATCAAAGCTGAACTCACAAAGGCATGTAGGAGAACACACAGTCTGGGAAAAAAGGATTCAGCACCACATCCTGTGTTGAGCTTATGTGTTTATGGGATTTTCACCGATCTCAGGACAAAGTAAACACTCACAGCTGCTCTCGCCTCGAAGCATGTTTTAAAAAAAAAAAAAAAAGTTATCGTTCCTACAGATGGGTGTGGCGTCTCCCAGAACCGCAGGTTTTAAATCTCAGTGGCGTTCATCAATTCACAAAATGTGATCTTATGAAAACAGAGAGACTGTGGGTATTCTCAGCGTCTCTCTTTATGCTTGAACCAGGTGGAGGTTGTGGTGCTGTAGTGTTTTAGCCAAAGCAGTGTAGCCAATTTCTCTTAAAATTTATGCCATAAAATAGGATATATGCAATTTATTTTCTTGCCTGTACTATTTGTATTTAAACTATGTTTTATTGCACACAATTATATGATATGTATGTAGCGTTAGCTTATTTTAGCCTTGTTTTACTGCAGCTTTAGTGCATAATATTCATCTACTAAACAAATTTTCACCAAATGTAGCATTAATTCATTAATACTTAAAGGGATAGCTCGGGATTTTTAATCCAAGGTCCTGCTGGAGAGTAGGAAGCAGTTAATATCTTACCTACAGCAGATAACACGCTTCATTTAGTGTGAGACAACACTAGCTGAGCTCAGAGGCTAATGCTAATGTCTAGTCTAAGAGGGGCCAAAACGAAGGCCTAGAACAACTCCAGTCTCAAAAGGCCCTTGAACATGTAGTCTATCTTTCCACTGATTGGCTGTTTAAAGAACCTGGTTATTATTTACATTGATAATTGGTCTTTGATGCAGTGCGCCACCTATTATCGTCCTGTATGAAACACAGCATTTCGGCTGACAGTAAACATGTGATATAAAAGTAAAACAGAATAAACAACTATACCATATTATAGTTTTTTTAATGGAAAGTTATTGTATTGTAGTGTTAATTTTTGAAAGTACATTTTAAATTAGCTTTAGCCATAGCATTTTAGTCATATTCAGGTCATTTTAGTTTGGCTGTAGCTTTACTCAACTAAATCTTACCATAAAAATCATGAACTACAAGATGAAGAGGCAAGACATTAACTGCTCATAACGCTTCAACAACCCTGAACTGTCTCCTTAAGGTTTTCGTATGAAAGGCAACGTGTGTAGTTTTTTTTTTTTATGTAAATGAGCAACAGTTCTGTTTGAACTCATCAAACATTACGAAGCACGTCTTTAAGAACACATAGAGTGCATTTCTCTTTTTGTCAAACATCTGCAGGGCCAGACTTTAAAGCCACGCTTCAAACATAAGAGCGCTGGTGCAGAAAATGAGCAAAACTGCCATTAAATCCTACAGGGGACCTTCAAAAGAAATGCTTTACTTCTCTCTGGCTTTTATTTTGATAGAGGGAACAGAAGGTTGAATTTCCTAAAGGAAGTGAAACCAAAAATTCATTTGACTTGATTGCCTCAGTAGTTAACTGAATGTGATCACAAAATGTGCCTTTGGTTTTAATCCACATGATTACAGCTCATGTGTTTAGCTGTAATCAAAGCTCATTTGTGTAAAATAGAAGGCAGATCATCTTAAGCAGTTCTTCATTAGGATTTGTGTCACTCCGATCTGTTTGGGGGTATTTTAAACCTCCACAGATAATGTTGTATCTTTTATTTTTAAATGTTCGAACCAAAATCACAGCGACACCACCCATTTACATCAAGTCCAGCTTCACCTTTTATTCTGTTTGAATTCCTGTGAGTGATTTTTGTATTTTGTATATTTCTAGTCACTGCCAGGAAATTCCAGTGAGCTCTTTGTATGAGGCATAAAAAACAGCTGGATTTACATGCACCCCTTAAAGAACTTTTTTTTTTTTTTTTTTTTACAGAAATTGAAACCAGAGGATGATTCTTATTTACATTCGCTTTGCCTGAATTTGCAATTTATAGTGCAGAATGAGTCATCTAAATAAATAAATAAACATAAAAGCTACTAAAATATTCACTCATCAGCCCAACCCCTTATGGAATTTGATTTAATTTGGAAAAAAAAAATCTTTTTATACCTTGAAAACCTAGTTATGCAATGGTTGATTAGAGAAGTAAAAAGCTAGCTTTAGCTTTCCACTTTATTCACGTTGTGTCCACAGTACAAACCTAGGTGTATATTTTAATCGAAACAGACTTATTGTTTAAAACTAAAACTCTGTATTTTTTCATTATCTTTTAGAAGACATTTTACAGTTGGGTTCTGTTAACTTCAGCAACATTTGTAATTTCAAATAAGCTTAGTTTTTTTTTTTGGCAGCTAAAGCTAACGGCTAATCAGATTAGGCCAAGATGGAAGCAGATTTGTCAAATATCACTTCATCCACAGAATCTTATAAATCTTTAAGCTGACATTTTTAAACAAGCATACTAAGTGAATGCAGTTTTACTTTTTTTATTTGTAGCTGAGACAAAACTAATTCTAATTGATTGGTTTTAGCGTCACAAACGGCGTTTGTGTTGCCGTGTGCCTGTTAGTCGCTCCATCTTCTCTATCTCTCTGTCACTCAATGGCTTTTTTCACTAATTTTCCATTTTAATCAGTCACTTCGTCAGTATCCGTCTCTGTCTAGGATGCCATTCTGTTTATATTTGTTTAAAAAAAAAAGTATATTTGTGAAAATAATATTTTAGAAAATAAAATAATTGTTCTAAAAATAAGATATTTGCTTTAGAACACATTTCGTCCTTTACATTTTTGTATAATGACAAAACCTTTTTGCTAGAGCACTTTTATACACAGAGACAATTCAGGCTCTTAAAAACCTGCATTAAATAGCATTTATTAAACCGTAAATCTTAAAATATTTTTGACTTGATAGGAACTCCTTTAGAGGGTGTATGTAAATCCACTTCCCACGCAGAATGTGACGGCATTCATCCTCTCGCCGCACAGTAAGGGTCATTCTTAATGCACTTTATACACTTTATCTTCCGAGACTGCTACAGTATGTGTCATGACAAATATTAAGATTATTATAGAGAAAACTATATTTTTGTGGTTTGAATTCATCTTTAACTTCTTGTGTTGGATTATCTGACGTTTTGTTCAAGCCGTGGCGTCACGTACAGCTCAATCCGGAGGAGATGATGTCATGTAGTTCATGAGTAAAAATAAAAAGCATGACAAACCCACCGTTTGTGGCTGTTTTTTTTCGTGTTTAAGACGATTAAGTCCAGAAACTTTTATATTTTAAATCAGTTTAAAAGTACTACAGACCTTTTATTGCAATGGAAAATGGTAAGTACAACATCTTTTCACAACGGTGTTTCTCTAAAAACTGACTGAATTTTAATTGGATTTCTTATTTATTGGAAACACCACAGCTGCGAAATCGTTTGTTCGACGTCAGCGGAATATTGACAAAGTTTTGCTCTCGCAGCTGGTGTAGATTAAAACTGACAATATGTAAAACAAAAGATAAATCTGAGACAAAACTGTTGAAACAAATCTTTTTAATTTTATGGTTTGACATAAACACTTCCCCAGTTTTTAGCTGGAGGTCAAAGGTAAAAGACACGAAGCTGCTACAATAAACAAGAGGGATAAAAACGTACTCCAGAACATTCCATTAAAACTATAGTCATAATCAACATTTCCAGGCTAAGTTTATCAAATAGAATCCACAAGTATGCTCTTGGAAATGGCTAGAAAAATCAGCTTGTATAGTAAAATAGAAAACTATATAAAGGTACAGTATAAACATACAGTAATTTGGCCTTGAAAGGGGTATTTACATGCAGAAGGTGAAACGGATCAGGATCACAGTCTGTTGAGCTCGATGTAACATCAGTGACTTTCCTGCATCTTTACAAAACTGCAACAGTCGTAGCAGGTTTCCGAGGGAACGGCTGGAATTATTAGTTTTCTTTTTGTTTTTTTGTGGGTTTTTTTTTTTTTTTTTTTTTTTTTTTCTTGAAAAAAAAAAAAAAAAAAATTTGTTCTAA